TTTTGTTAGAACATGAAAGTAGGTTTACATAACACTAAATCTAGTTTAAAATTATTTTAATTTTTCCTATATAATAGCGGAGATCATTATGTGATCACGTGAATTTCAGCATCATCCGATTTCAGCATCATCCCTGACATTTTATAATGACATAAAAATACGTATTATTAATAAAAAGACACTTCTTTGAAAATGCACAAGAATGTGACTTATAGAAGACGTGCTAACACCTAAATATTTTGCAATTTTTTGAGTTTAGATTTTTTTCAATAATTTGCCAGCAAATGTGGTTTGAATTTATTATGCTGAAAAATAATTTAACTGGTTCGGCCGAAAAATAATTTGGCTATTTATAGGCGTCCTAGAAATAATGAAAACAGCTATAAGTTTAGGTTTCTGATTGAATTGAATTAGTATTAAGTTTGTAATTAGTGATCTATAAATTCTATTTATTTTTATTTGCAAGCTTATTTAAAATATAATATATATTATCAAAAAAAACTTGCTTATTTTATCCCCGGATAACTTCTTTTTCATTTTCTGATTTCGATATTTCAAAACAAAAATATGACTTTTCAAACTCCCACTTATTTTCAAAATAAGTAAACTCTAAAATACCATTAGTACTTAAATAATACTATTTACAGTATGGCTTAGTATGTAATTGCCAAAATATAAGCTATTTTAATATATATATATGAAAAATATCAAGTTTCGTTTCGAAAGAAAATTCACTATCACAAAGTAATACTGAATCACCCTATTAATTTACATTTATGCTTTTCAAATTATGTATTTTTAATATCTAAGAAATGCTATTTCAAATAATGACCTGGTGAATTTAAATGTTTAAAGCTATTTCAAGCTGTAAATTTAAAAATAGCTTTAACATTAAAAATAAGATATTTTATTTAAAAAAGTTAACATTTAGTCAACCAATTAAAATTACAATTTTGGCAGAATTTGTGAAATATAAAGATGAAAAATAAAGATTTTGCATGATAGGTTTAAAACGTGTAGTAATTTAGTAGTATTATGGGTTTCGGAATGATTCAACATCAAATTTCAGATAAAATAATTGACATATTTATTTAAAAAGAAGCGATATACGTACAAATTCTATTTTTTTTTTAAAGTATATACTTATTTGCATAATCGTCTACAGGTAAATGTATCAAAAAAACCCCAATTTATCATCAGCTAAACCTATTTAATTTTCTGGGAATTCTAAAAAAGAAATATGATATTTTGAATGCCCACTTATTTAAAAAAGTTAATTCTAAAACTCCAACATAATAAGCAATTCAAGTTTATTAATCCATTATATATAGTCGATAAGTTTATTAACTAGTATTTTTTTTTTAAATAAACTAATTAATTTTGTAAATAACTACTAAAAGATTCATTAATTTAGTAAGTAATACGTAAAAAAGTTATTTATTGGTCTTTGTAAATATAAATCAATTACAATATTATTGTTTGTTTTATTTAATTAAATGGTATAAAAATTATTTCTATATTTAAAGTACAAAGTTTAGATTTTACTATTGTACAATATTTAAATTTATTATATATGTTATTATAAGCACTTACCATATAAACTCGGAATAATGCGAAGAGCGTTCGGGCTGAGTTAAGCTTAATATAGGCTGAACTTTGAAAGTACAACCCTGTATATTATTCCAAGTTTATATGCTTGAAATATAATCAAAATTTTGATGTATATACATATATGCACTTCATTTCAAATTGGTATTATTATTATTATTATTATTATTTCTTTTTTTTATGATCATTAAGTAAGAATAAAAACATTAGGGTGGGAACACCTATAGATATTATACTGTTCTCATGAGAACAGTGTTTAGGTCCGAAATTTCAAACACTGAATAGAACACTAGAACACTAAAACACTAAATCCAAATCGGGTTTATTACCATATTAGGAAATATGTTAAAGCTACTTTTTTGCACATTTATAGTTATTACTGTAAAGTATGGAAAATAAGCACAGCACCCTCTACCCTGCTTTTTCAATTTCAGATTAACGGGAATAACTTGAATAAAGGTTTTATTGCTATTTCTGCTAATTTGAAATTAAAAAAAGTAGGATAGAGGGTGCTGTGCTTATTTTTCACACTTTACAGTATTTTATATGTTCATCAAGAAAGTAATTTATACACGATGTAGATCTACCAAATTACAACACTAGAACGCTAAAACACTAAAACACTAAAACACTAAATCACAAAACATATTATTTTGTATATCTATGGTACATCATACAAAAATACTAAGAAATTAAAAGTTGCTTAATATGACCCAAAAGCAAGACAGCAAAATTTTTAATAATAAAATTATGACAGCTAGATCCAAAAAATAAATACTGTGACAGTTAATAAAATGGTATAAAATCTGCCTACAGGCCTTGAGGGGCATACCATATTCTAAAATATGGCTAATTAATTGCCAGAAGAGTTATCTAATTTAAACGAAAACCTGAATTTAAAAATATAAACATTATGTCAGCTTTCATTTTATGGGAGAAAAGTTAAGTCAGCATTCATTTTATGGGCGAAAATTTATAAAGAACCTACTTTTTGAAGCTGTGTAGTTGTGGGTTTGGTTGGTTTTAAACAACTGTGATATCTCATCTAAAGAAGGAACTTTCAAGGCTAAAAATCAGATATATTCTAACGGATTTACAAAACTAATTTAATAAAATTATTAAATATATACTATAATTATGTTTATCTTTGTTCTTCGGCTTTTGATTATTATTTATGATTGTTAAGTGGTTAACTATTATATCAATTATAGGCCTTTTTTGCGGCTTACCATTCCAACAATCAACATAAAGATTGTGATAATCATCCGGAGTGTTTTGAATTGGTTTTTCTCTTTTACCATTAATTATGCTTAAATGTGTCACAGCTGGATCAAGTCCATAAAAAGGGCAGCAGCCACTAGAAATTTCCCACATCAAAACGCCAAATGAGTATACATCCGATCGTTTATCATAAGGGTAATTTAATTCAAGTAATATTTTTGGTTCAATATAAGGTAGTCGTCCAAAATTTCCAACAAGAATCGTAGTCTCAGTGTTAATTTAACGAGATATTCCAAAATCTGACAATTTGGCATGTCCTTCATGGACAAGAATGTTCTGAGAATGCTATAATAAATATTATGTTAAAAGATTTTAAGTAATATGTTTTAGAATAAAGAAAATATATATTTATTATACAAGATCCCTATGTACAATATTTTCCCTATGCAAAAAGTCTAACCCTTTAGCAATATCCAATGCAAGTTGAAATTTTGTCTGACCATTTTAATTTTTGAAAATTATTATAAAGAAAATCTACCAAATCACCATCGTTATCATATTGCATAACTATAAAAAAGCCATCTGCAGCTATTTGAAAAAAATTTAATTTATTAATAATGAATAATTTTATAGTCACAGTAATTTGATAATTATTTAAATTCACATTGAGTTACTCCAAACATTCTCACAATTCTATCTATTAGGTCAAGTTGAATATGCATCTTCAATTCATAAATAAATGCTTTATGTTCTTTGTAATTAATCACCAGAATATTTTTAATCCTTTTCAAAACAATATACTTATTTTTTCATTTCCATAAAGCTTTTTTAACACAACCAAAGCCACCTTCTCTAATACACTTTCTATCAGTGAATTGATTAATATCAATTAAATCAACACCGAGCTCACGGATGGCTGATAAACGAGATTTCGTAGAAATATCTTCACCTGTTAAAGCTATTACACCTGAATCAGGTTTTAACTTTTTATTAAATCTCATGTGGAATGCTTGAAGAAATTTATCAGCTATTCTAAATTCAATAACAATCTGTGTATCAATATTTTGTTCCATTTCAAGATACCATTCTCCCAGTGTATTAATAATTTCCATAATTGAGAGACGTAACTTTGGATCATGATTCAAACATTGATTCATTAATACAACATAAGATTTCGGTGCACTTTCAGGCACAAATTCTAAGTTTGATTTCTTATAAAACATTTCCATTTTTGAAATATAATTACGAGCATTATATAAGTCTAATTCTTTAATAAATGGTGACAAGAGGTCATACATTATTAATCCGAATGAGTATATATTACTTTCTTTAGTGAAAATATGATTTTCTAAAGACTCTGGTGCTATATATTTTGGATAATAAAATCTTCTTTTATTAGGTTTTATATTACTTTCATCAATTACAATCATAAAATATCCAAATGCAATAGTCTGATTGTTTTTTACACAAAAAGAGCTTGTCCCTAATGCTGTTGTAACAAATCCAGAATTGAAAAGAAATTGTAAATCTTTAGAAATTTGCTACAAAAAATTGAGCCTAGTTTTCCAATTCATATCAATGCAGTTTGATTGTAAATATTCGTAAAGCGTCCCATTTTTAACATGCTCACCGACTGATATGAATGCCTTTGTTTCTGGTTCTTGTGATCTCCCATACCAACCGATTCCTGTTGCAAAATTATTATTTAAGCAACGAAGAAAATTTTTATGCTGTTTATAATGAACTTATTAAAATTAATCAATTCAAAAATAAAAAAAAAACCTATAAGAAAAATGTACTGTAATTGTATGGGTTGGCTCAGAATAACACGGGTTTCGGTGGCACGGATCAAACCCAGGTTTTGTACGTAAGAGGCTCAAAGTGGCATGAATTTTTGGCCCATGTCAGTCTGTATACCAGTGCCAATTGGACTATTAATGACGGGTTTTGCAACACTTTACTAGTCCAATTGGTACGGGTTTTGGTACGGATGTATGTAAATTCACGTACCACCATAAAAACATAATTTACTTCAATTATCATTAATAAAATACATATTTGAAAATTAAAGTAATTGCATATGTGTAAAATTTTGCAAGGAATATTTTTCATTAAGATACCCAGAACAATTTAATCAGTAAAATTTTGAGATATTGCATTTTTTTTTCATAAAAAAACACTTACTGATCCTTCGCTCTTGAGACACGTGCATATACGTATCATTCAATACGACCACTTTTCCGTAATGTCCATGCCATTTTTAGCCATACCATCACATAAAATGAGCCACAACCCGGACCACTTTCTCATAGGGAAATTTTTTTTATAAGATGAAATTTTTAAAAATAACCTGATATATAAATTCTTCTACTGCTGTTTTGAGATCATGAACAATCAAAAACACAAGATTATGACTTGACCTAAAATATTTTGGTTTGTTTCGTCCTATAAAATTCTTGAACCGGAAGACCAATAAGCACTATAATACTTCACTATTCCTCTTTTTTTGAACGGAATCCATTCAAATATACCTTTTTGGCGAGGTTGATGAAAGCTGTGTTTCTTGTATAAACTGATTGATTTCTATATTTCCACTAGTCCAATTACCAAAATTTTCACGTAATTGTGCTGATTCACATGGTTGGCACCAATGATAATGAGTCATTGGTTTTTTGCAATATGGACAGAAATCATGAGGATTGTTCCTATTATTTAATTATGAATAAAAAATAATAATGACAATTTTGGATAAATTATAAAAATAAAATCTTATATTTACACTTTTGAAGGCTTTTTTTTTCGAACTTTTTTAATTAGAATATTCTCAAATACCAGTAATAAGTAACAATCTTAACACTTACTTTCTGACAATTGAACAATTTATAGTTAATTATAATGGCTTTCAAAATGTGTAAAAAAAAATTTTTTTGGCATATACCCATATACTGTGTATACCCCTATATTATTGTTATGGGTGAATTTTACGTTCGATAATCTTTACTATAAAATATAGACTTTATGATATAAGGCAACTCGCAAGAGGCGTTAGGGTCATATAATATAAGGGGAATTATTATCGAGTTAGTGAGCTTATGTGCCCTTCCTCTCACATAAGTGTTATAACTAATTAACGTCCTTTTTATAACTTAAAGGAATAATGAGGCTTAAACATAACTTCCCTTATTGTATAGTGGTTTATTTTCTATTGGCCGATGAACCGTATTGCTATTTGCACAAAATTAACAATGGGTTGTGCAAATTGCACAAAAAATGGAATAAATTTACTGTTACGTATAAAAAAAATTTTTTACACAACATATTTGTGCGGAATTTTATAAATTATCTAGCAGTCAATCGTAATATCAGAAAATTTTCAGGGTAATGATTTAATTAAGAGATCTGCAAGTTGCAGCACATACGGTGAAAGGACGGAAATCGGTCGGTCAATGCTTCGCAGCAATTGGGTCACTGACCGACAGAATCGTCAGGACAAAGCGCGAAAGATTTGGACGAGTGGTTAATAAACGAATGTATGTAGTTGGTAGGGCATGTTTATAGACTTAGGTACTTTATTATTTAGGTCAAACGGGAACTAACTATCTCTTCGAAGGGCCAGAAGGCCTTTACTTATAATTATGAATTTGTCTATTTACATTTGCGGAATTATCTACATTTCAAAAATCAACTAAATCTCTAAACATATCAATAAGACCCGAATTATGCTTATAGCCATTATTATTAGAGTCTGCTAGATAACCGAAATTATTCTTATTGTCCCAATTCGGTTGATCCCTTGATTGTTCCGAATCCCCGGGGTTATCAAAGAATCCGGAAATCCCAGGAATTCCCTCAGTAAATCTAAATTTGTAACTCCCGGATCGCGTGGGCACGTGCCTGCGGTCAGGCCACGTTTCCGGTCTCACAACGGCAAAATTTGACAATCTATAGATTTTGTGAAAAAAGACAGTTTTCACTTCTAAGCTAACATTTATATCTTGCAATATAACCAGTATTCTTTATTATAATAAAAATTTTTGTTATTTCATATTTACATACTATCTATATTTTTTTCCCTTTACGTCAAAAACCTTTGAAGTATCTTATTTTGAAAATGGCGTTTTGATACAATCGAAATCAATCTCGAAATTT